CTGCTTTTTGACAGAGGGCAACTCTCGGTTGCTGGTGTTTCCAGCACTGTTAACTCGACGGTTTGACAAGCACACATATGAAGGAGCTGGTTACTGTTCCTTGTGCCTGAATTGCACACATAGCTGGAAAAAGGCTGAACGGATGTTCATTATGCAATATTTTAAACAAGAACGTTGACATTTGAAGCTCATGCTAAAAATGTCAGAATTACTAGTGCAGCTTCTCCCGATGAGGGATAATTATAATACCAGCAACAAAAGCATTTCTGGACCATGTCAGTATGAAAATATTATTAGCTAACAGTTTACAGCTGTGTGCAGTTCTGTTTGACTGAAAATTCAACAGCAAAAAAAGCTGAAAACCTTTTTTTGAAAGCTCATGGTTGCCCATACTTACTGTAGCTGCAGTGCAAAGGAAGGACAAACAGAGTTTTCTGCAGTGTTCTGAACACCTCCTGGCATAGTTTTCACAGCACAAATGGCAGCTTGTTTACCAGCTGACAGAATAGTTGCTCTCATTTAAACTACCTGAAATGGATTTCTCAAACAAACCTGCCTGTTACGGGCTTGACATCAAAACAAGTTGCATTTTGGTGGCTTATCTGTTTTAACTTGGTAGCCTATTAACACTGCCATACTGACTCACACCATTCTTAATACCCATAGAAAGCACTGTGTACTATGGTAATACAATGGTACATTTTGCAGTTCAGTTTTGTTTTATACATTTTCAGTGAGGCCCTAAAATCGATGTTATAACCTATTGGTCTTATTTTGATGGACTTGAATAGATGTTGATAACTTGGCCCAAACAGCCTTTTTTTTTTGCAAGGAAAAATCTGCCGATTTGCAAAAATATTGTTTAAATAATGTGACAACTGTGTAAAAAGAGTGTGCATGTGCAGTTGCATGTGTCAGTGTTGATCAATGTAACGCTGACTTTAAACAAACTCCTTTTCAAACAGAACTTGGAAGCAACTTACTTTTGATTAACACAACAGCAGGAAACAGAAAACAATGACCTCAAAATAACCCATGGCATTTTTTTTTTGGATGATGCATGCACATCTGCAACACACGGGTCAGGCAAGTGCAAGAGTACAATCTGTTCAAAAACAGTAAACACTCTATTAATCAGCCAGTATTTTAAAGAGGTCTGTCATAGCTGTGAGAAAAATGCAAGATCAAATATGCGTTGTGCGTGCACAATTAAGTAAATGTAAACAGAATTCGCAATCGCGTTTTAAAAGTAGTTCACCCAAAAATGAAAATTCTGTCATTAATTACTCACCCTCATGTCGTTCCAAACCCGTAAGACCTTCGTTCATCTCCGGAACACAAATTAAGATATTTTGATGGAAACTGAGAGCTCTCTGACCCTCCATAGACAGCGTTGTTTACGATCAGTAGACAGCGCGCGCATGCTAAACGTAAACAACACTGATTACGTTGATTGCGTTCTGGGATACTCTCTCGGGGAGAAGAATTGCTGAATAAATTATTATTGTTTTCTTTGCGCACAAATAGTATTCTCGTAGCTTGGTAAAATTACGGTTGAATCTCTGATGTCACATGGACTATTTTACCGATGTCCTTGCTACGTTTCTGACCGTTGATTGTGGTAATATCATTGCTGTCTATGGAGGGTCAGAGAGCTCTCAGATTCCATCAAACATATCTTAATAGGTGAACGAAGGTCTTACGGGTTTGGAACGACATGAGGTGTTAAACGACTTGCCCCCCCAAGCTATGCCATCTGTAAACAATACAAAAACTATAATTGTACAGTTGCTGACTGGATTCGTTTTAATACTATTTGTTTGTTTGTTTATGTATTTGTTTAATATGCAGGGACGTGCACAGACATTTTGAGGGGCAGGGGCTCAAGTGGAAAAAAGGGCACTTCTCATATTTATTTTTCTAAACAAAACGTTAAATATATTAGAGGTGTGCGATATTGACAAAAAATATATTTCCCAGATATTTTCTGGGGTTTTATCGATAACGATTACACAATATTTTGCTGAGTGTGTTATTGTGCTGATATCTGATAAGGATAAGGTTGATAAGGACTACCGTGGGCAGCTGACTCCTAAAGTTTTTTATATTCTTCATATTCTGTGTGGTGATCAGTTCACAGCAGTGATAGAAATTAATATTTTCCAATAAGTTTTAATTGATTTTTTTACCTTTTATGGGCATTTTTACCTTTAAAAAGGCTTTTTTTTCTAAAAGTGTGCATCATCTTTTCACTCAAATTCTTAAATTGAATCAGTCAATAAGAATAATAAGTAATTTGGGCTGTTACCAAGCAAACGAAATCAGTATTGACAAAATTCATCTTTGCAATGCAGAGGAAACACAAAAGCTTCATTAGAAGTGGCATTTAGATGCATTTACACACTGTTTAATGCAGGACATGAATGCTTTAACTTGCAGTTACAAATGCATTAATACTGTTTTTATATTTTAAACATATAACGTTGAATACTGCCAGTAGGTGGCAGCAAGTCACTGTTAATAAGTGAGTCATTGCGATTCAACCGAATCATTGATTCATTCAGGAACGAAACACCATAATGTTGCAAATTGGAATTATATTTCTTGGCGAAATAGAGGAGAAAAAAAGTCAATATTGTGTCTAACGTAAGGGTCTTAATATTAAATGATTGTTTATTGAACTGCTGTATAGTCTTTGTGATACTGATTAACTATATGAAATGATATAAATATATATATTTCTGCCCCCATATCTTGAATTTTGTGATCATTCTAAATGCATCACCTCCATACCAAAACAAACACAACTGAAAAGGGAGGGAGTGCTTCACTTCTGCGGCTCTCTGTCTGTGACTGTGATGTGATGTGATGTGATGATCAATGTGCTACTGTTACGGGGCGAACGAGACATGAGACTTGCGGATCCATTTGCAAAGCTTTAATAGGAGACAGAGACATGGTCATAAAACAGGCATGGGTCAGACAATGGCAAACAGGTATATAGAGGGCAAGACAAAAGAGTATCCAAAGGAAGGCGTGAGTCAGTCGACGGTGAACGTAATCCTGAGGGCGAGGCAAATGGGGAATCCACAAGACGAGCTAGAGTCCAGGCGAGGTGCAAACACAGTCCGAAACAGCAAGGCAAAGGGTAATTCCAAAACAGGCTATAA